CAGAGCCAAGAGAGCATGGCCGACAATCACGCCTCCGGCGAAGACGAATTGTACACTGAGCCAGACGAAATTGGGCGACATCTTCTTCTCGCTCCTCCGACGTGGCTGTCCGCCAGCCGGGAATTCTGAAAGACATTCTGCTTTCCCGTCGGCCATGTCAGTTGCGAGACCCTGTCGTCTCTTCTGTGCCGGTCGGTAGGAACCGGAGGAGGCACCGGAGGAGGCACCGGTCGGATAGTCGTCAGGCTCATTCTCGTCTCCGGCCGACGACGGCTCCGACATGGAGGCGTCTGCCGGAGCATCTGCCGGTGCATGCAACGATTCGTTCGTCTGATTGAGAGTGTGATTTCGCAATAGAAAGTAGGCCAATTTAGAGGAGTTCAGATGAGGCGTCCAGTTGCCGGGGTTGAGGCTGTTACTTGGCATTTTGTAATCCGATCCTGCAGCTCGGATGGGCAGATGGAAATGGGTGTCGTGTAGTTCTGAAAAGTAGTTGATGGCATCACGCAACTGTTTTACATCTTCCTTCTGCGTCTGAACACCGGCTGAGCGTCTTTTCACGCGGATTCTGGAGCCAGCCAGCGGCCAGTTGACGGGATCAGATGAGATCACGTTGATGAGAATTAAAGTGACTGGAAGCAAAAGTAAGAGAAGACTGTTCGAAAAGTGACGCTGGCTTCTCATGCTGGCCCGGTTACATGATGCTTCTGGTGATCGCAGTGAAAGCAGTGCAATTGGGCGAGAATTCCTCAAAAGAGGGTTATGCTAGAATAGTTCCACAGCTTACCACATTATTTCTGATGCCCAAGAATTTAGATTCAACCGTCAGGCGAATGGTATTCGCCAGATGCGCAGCCATTGGTCCACTGGACTCGCCAATTGCAACGGAGTATAATGGGAATATGAAGAGGAAGTGGGGCAAAGTTCAGCATTGCTTGTTTGTCGCATTCTTAATTGACACATTTTTATGCTTTTCTCCGTTAATCTGAGATAAATCAAATGCAATCGAATCAGGTCATGATATGTGTTCTGACAGTTGATATCTCTCAGAATGCGATAATTAGGTCTCATAATACCATCGAATTTAACTTAGCCTTGATTGCCAAAATGTATTTCCATCTAAATTGGATCTGACGGCACTAAACTAGAATTATCTGTACCACTTATGAGAGTCGAGCTCAGTCTGTGTCAATGAAAACATACGAATGCGAATATTATGAATTGATCTATATCACCATTATTTGTGTCTGAAATGAAAAATGTATTTTGTGACGTAGGTTATTGGAATCTTCTTCAAAGTTTTAGTAAGGCTTTTGATGCGAAAATGGACTATTGTGATACTAAATTTCTAGCCATCCCACCAACACATTAGGCAGAAGCAGAAAGGGAAATTATATGAGATGTATTCACCCTATTTTGTTTAAGATGAGGCAAGCATGGTGGTTGAATTTTCCCATAATCATATGGATAGAGCTGACGTTTGCATTGAATTTCGCATAGTCTAGTTGCATACAAGGTATTCTCATCCGTGCTGAAGTGGATTGAAGTTTCGACCTCGCATGAACCTTATTCACACCCCCATCAGTGCTCAAACCATGACAAAACAGCGTATAATCTCAACAAAATAACATCTACATCACATTGACACGAGTGTTATTTGGTAAGGCACCAAATATTTTCCCAGATCACATTCTTTGATGGGATTTTCGATAAGGCAAAATTATATTTGCCGTTAAAATCGACTGAATTACCTATTGTCCATTTATAATTAGGGTTTAGAGACTACCAGTAAATCAGTAGTATGAGATGTATTCACCTTATTTCGTTTACGATGAGGAAGGAACGGTGGTTGAATTTTCCCATAATGCTATGGATAGGGCTGACGTTTGCATTGAATTTCACATAGCCCGGTTGCATACAAGGTGTTCTCATCCGTGCTGAAGTGGACTGAAGTTTCGACATCGCCTAAATCGTATTCACACCCCAACCAGGGCTCGAACTATGACAATACAGCGTATAATCTCGGCAAGTTTACATCTACGTCACATTGCTACGAGTTTTATTTGGTAAAAGGCCAAGTATTTTCCCAGATCACATTCTTTGATGGAATTTTTGATAAGGCAAAATTATATTTGCCATGAAAATCGACTAAATTACCTATTTTTCGAGACTACCAGTAAATCAGTACGTATCGACGATAAACAAGTAAGTGAGTTGACCTATTTTTCGCAACTTGGTCTTGTTGCCACGGTGACTTAGTAGAACACATGTTGTCCGAAGTCCGCTGTCAGGGTAGTTAGCATAATTAATAACATCAGACCGTGGACTTGGTACATTCACAGACGTAAAAGAGACGAGTTTGTAGCTTGGTGCGGAGAATGACGAGACTTAGTGATGATGCCGACTACGATGCTGGCAAAACGTCTGAAAATGTGCCAAGTCCACTGTCTGATGCTGTGAATTGTGATAACTACTATGGCAGAGGACTTCGGACAAGGTGTGTTCTACGAAGTCGCCCTGACAACAAGACGAAGTTGCGAAAACGAGATCAATCCACTTCTATACATCGAAAGGAGACTGCGACCATTCCAAGAGGCCACACCATCTTGGTCTTTATAGCTTCGAAAAATAAGTAAGTTTCTCGATTGTCATAGTAAATATAAATTTTATTCATCGACATTTTAACCAGATAATGTGATATAGAAAATTGCCTGATCTTTCTTCAAATTCACACTTATCAAGGGCACTCGTGGGAATGTGGACCAGTGGTTAACATGTGGGGATTACATGCTCCACTGTCATAGTTAGAATCCCGCTGAGGATGTTGATTTGATCTAGGCGAGGTCGAAACTGTATCCCACTCCACCCTGGATGTCAATACATGTTGGCAAAGCAAGGTTAAGTGAAATTCAATGGGAACGTCATTACTACTTATATGCTTGTGGGAAAATTCAACTGCCAGACCTTCATCACCTGAAACGAATTAGGATAAATACATCTGGTCATCTCAATACCCTACTTATAAGTGAAAATAATAAACGTAAATTCTTCACTCAAATAATTGTATTAATCATTCTTTGAACAAGTGTAAACATTTAGGCAAACTAAGGACATTAACTGGGAATTGGGCTAAATCCAGTAGTAGTAATTCGGTTTTGTTGAATTAATATTTAAAAGTATTAGGTTATCTTTGCTATCACGAAAGCCTGAAAAGAGGGAGGTCTCGTGGACCGGATCAATCTCAATGTCGTATAAGAGCCAAAAGTCCGCAGTGCAACGCGATTCAGCCTTCCTCTTCTGTTGTGGTCGACCTTCTAATCTATTCTTCATACACTTTCATACAAAATGAAGTCACTACAATAACTCATTTCAAGTAGATGCATTGTTCCAGCTTTGTAAAGCATCATCTGGCTAACACCCTCTCTTAGATTGCCAAAATAAAGTTAGTCTGAAAAATATATTTAAACTCGTTTGTATACTTTATAGACAAGAAAACATTTAAAGCCTGCTCTTTTAGATTTATGAATTTGTGCTTCCTTAAAAAAGGAGTGCTTCTTCTACTCCTCTTTACTCCTCTTAAACCTAATAACCATGGCATCGGCTTCTCTAAATACCCAAAATAGATCATAGTTGTGATAAAATCTTTTTGTCAATTTTTATTTGTAGATATTGAAGATATTGCTATACTTAATTATGCAAACAATTATTTTAATATACTTCTGTTTAATTATTGATAGAATTGAATAAAACGATGTAGTTCAATTTTATCATATAAGCGTAATAAAGACCGGTTATCAAGCAACCTTTAGGAAAATATAGATACTTAATATACCTATAGAATGCAAATGCATAGCAAGAGATATCCCAGTTGTACAACGCATTTTTCTAGATGATTTCACGTTGTAAGACCATTAAGCAGAAATTTCTCTTTTAACGAATTTAAATTGTATTTCATCTCGGAAAAAGGTTTTTATTTGGAGAAAATATGAGGTTGAATGTTGAAGGCTATTAAACTCCCTCATAACTAACTCCTGTGAGGCTAACTTTCAGGCGCTGAATGACAAATTTCTAAAAGTCCATTTTATATTCCAGTTAACCCATAATTCGTAGACAGAAACAATCGAAAGGGTAAAAGGTGTGATCAGAAATGAGTAAGCTCAGCAGAAGATGGACCTGAGATAGCATTACCTTCTAATACTGTAGATAATGCTATGTATGCTGTTAAGCATAAATTAGGGGAGAATTTAAAAGTCAAGATATTAGTGAATTATTTGAGTGTGAGAAAGGTCGATAGAAAGTTAGGTAAAGACAACGAGCTTTAGTAGTAAACTTATTGGGAGTGATAGTGTTGGCCTGATTCAGCCGAGGAGAATAATAAACTTATTTGTTTATTTTATACCATTCACTCCTCCTATAGAGACAAAATCTAAATGAAAACGCTTTGGAAAATGTCTTTTTACCGGTTACACTGTCAATCTACTTGTA